TTGCTCCTGTTTGATTTTAGTACTGGGGGGCGGAGGGAATAGAATTGTTTCCCCAAGACAGTTCTTGTCAACATGGGGCCTTCCAGATGTTTTGGGACTCCAACTCCTATTGGCTCCAGCCAGCATGGCTGATGTTCAGGGATGATGGGAGTTGAGGCCAGCAATGTCTAGAAGGCACCACATCAGCTCCCCAGCCTTAAGACAGCATACTGACAAAATTCTAGCAGTCTGCACTTTCCAGATGACTAGATACTCTCATTTGCTTGTATAATCTTCTGTTGGCTGTAAGGTCTACACTATATAGCAACATCACAACAGGGTTTCAGGCAGCTCTTTCACCAACCCCACCTGCAGATTCTAGTGGTGAAACCTGATGCCTTTTGCATAAGGTGCGGCTGAACTTCGTTCCTCTGCTATTTTCTCTCCAGTTCTTACAGAGCTTGTTTCTCCAAGTTCCCACAATTTGTTAGTTCTGCACATCCACTGCCTCTACTTGATTCCATGCACATCTACCCATAGCTTGGATAGTGTGGTTGCTGATTCCAGAAAGAGCTTCTCAAATAGCCTTGGTTCAAGCTTGATAAGGGCTACCAATGAGTATATTCTGCAACCATTGTTGGAGACAGTATGCCTCAGAATACCAGTTCAGTTGCTGGGGAGAGTGCTGTTGACCTCAGTTCCTTCTTGTGGACTTCCTAGGCATCTGGTTGGCCACTGTGAAAACAGGATGCTGCACTAGATTTCATTTTGCCTGATCCTGCAGCATTCTTCTCAAGTTCTTGTATCTTTTCTTTATACTCTCCCCACCCCCTAACCCCAAGACTCCCTCTGTCAACAGAGGCAGCTGCTTGGTTCTTACAGATCTGTACCATTCATATACTGCGGGATGTTATTCTGACGTACAGAGCAGAATTGTGAAAGGGGCATGCGTCAAACTGACACTTTCCCTTTTCATTTAAACCAAAATAAAATCCCATGCTTTTATTTGCAATGACAATATCATTTTAAATTCTTTTTTAGTTGGAGAGCAATCATGGATAATTTGATGACACATGACAAAACCACGTTCAGAGATCTGATGAGTGAGTTCTGGCTTTTAACTCTGTGTACAAGATCCACAGACACTTGCATGTTTGGAATCCATTCTAATAATATTAGCTATCATTTTGTAAAGATTGATTCTTCTGATGTCTGCATAATGCAGGCATCCCCAACCTGCGGCCCTCCAGATGTTTTGACCTACAACTCCCATGATCCCTAGCTAACAGGACCAGTGGTCTGGGATGATGGGAATTGTAGTCCAAAACATCTGGAGGGCTGCAGGTTGGTGATGCCTGGCATAATGGTCCAAATCACAACTCATCTAAGCCAAGAAAGCTTTTTTTTGGCAAAAACAGCATAGGCATGATAGATACTTTTTCATTGACTTTGCCGTTGGAAGTAATTTTGGTAAATTTATATTGTTTCTGGTTTTGTGAATTTAATGTTGTTTCGTTAATATCTTGGATTTTTCCTTGCTCTCTCTGCCTTGAACTAGGGCTTTGTTGTTTGTATGCAAGATCCACCTGCCAAGTAGCCCACAAGAGTGTGTCTTAACTCAGAATGCGTTGCATCCCTTTTTTAAAAAAAGAATGTAAAATCACTTTTTAAAAAGTATATTCAGAGTATTGAACACCAAGACTTATTGATTGAAGTGACTGCTGAAGTGTGAATGGTGCCAGGTCTATCCTACGAATAGTTCCCTTGCTCTCATGAATATAGGGAACAGTGGGAGAGTGCTGTGGCCCTCATGTCCTGCCTTGGACATCTCATTGGCCACTGTGAGAAGCAGCATGCTGGACTAGATGGCCTTCTTAAGAGAAATGCACACAAACAGTGCATTTAACTCATCAATAGGATCCATGTAGTGTATATGGTACCTGGCATATACGTTTTAAGTGCAGAATACAATCTGGGCACTGAGTTACGGCACTCAACTAGTGATTTTAATAACATACTTTAAATCAGCCTTTTCCAACCTGGAGTCCTGTGCCTGTTTTGAACTACTCCTGTCTCTGAGCCAAGAACTCGTCTTCACTAAAAGCACCTTCTCTGCTGCATGATTCCTTCTTTAGCACGTGTGGCTGTAGCTCAGAGCAGTTCGCTCAATCTGTTTGCCAATCGGGATGTAGAACTGGAACAGCGTGCTATGCTTCTGAAGAGGCTGGCCTTTGCCATTTTTAGCAGTGAAGTGGACCAATACCAGAAATACCTTCCAGATATACAAGGTGAATAAGAATTTTATCATTTCCCTTGGAGGGGTAAAGTACAAGTGTCCTTTGCTTAACTATTATTAGTGCTTTATGGATGACATGACCTCCCGGAGTTAGCTTGCACCCTGGGGAGGTCACTTCAGTGCTGCAAATGTGGTGGTTTGTCTTCACCTCTGGAGGCACACTCTCTCAAGACAGAAGCATGCCAACCAGTCATGCTAGCTGGGCCACATGGGAGTTGGAGTTTATTAGTATGTGGACTCCAAGGACTCCCCACCCCTGATTTAAACAGTAGTTAAATCTTCTGCTCTGTGTATTGGCACATAATTTGGGGCCAGCAGAACAAAGCATACAAAAAAAAAAAGTCCTGCTAACCTCTGGATCATACCATTGGCTTGTTATCATGGTCTCTTAGAAACACAGTGAACTGTTTACTTGAAAACTGGTACATCTGTCCCTCCTTCCCCCAGCACCTCTAATATTCTACATTGAGGGGAGGTTTGTGTGCGCATGAGTTTAGCGTAGCTTTCCTAAATACAAATCAACTAAAGCTCATACTATTAATCGGTTGTTTTTTCATTAACTGGGCTGCAGATTTTTGAGCTACCAAATCTGTGTTGATTTTTCTGTTTCAGAAAGGCTGGTAGAAAGTCTCCGCCTGCCGCAAGTGCCCACTCTTCACTCCCAAGTGTTCCTCTTTTTCCGAGTTCTGCTCTTGAGAATGTCTCCACAGCATCTTACCTCGCTTTGGCCTACCATGATCACAGAATTGGTGAGTTGCAACTGACTTTGGAACATGGGGAAGCTTTTTTCTATATTTAAAAAAAAAAGCCAATTGTGGCAATCACACACAGGGCCCCTGGACGTTTGACGGTCTATTGACCCTGTGCCACCACTGCGATTGCTTTTTCCGCTGCCACCACCCCATATCTCACGGGGACACACAGAGTCCAGTCAGTTGTTAACATAAACAAATAATCAAGTTTATTTTTAAATGCAGGAAAAAGCTTATGGTTTCAGTTAATTTTTCTCTTGAGTTTCTTATTCTTAGTTCCTAACAACTCCAAACTGATTATTCCCAACTATCTATCTGACTCCACCTAACAATTCCTCTCACTCTCTCACAATACAACTCTACCAACCCACTGCCTATTCCTCCCTCTTCAACTCCCAAACCTCAACTGACTTTCAAAACCTCCCGCTCTAACTTTTATTCCCCCCTTGCATTCTCCCTGGCCAATCACAACACACCTATTTTAACCCTTTCCTTATGACCCATCCTAGGAGGCAAACGCCACATCAATAATTCAATATCTCTATAGCCCAAGGTTAGCCAACACAGTGCCCTTCAGATGTTGCTAGGATACAATTTCCAGCCATTAGTGATGATGGGAGTATATCATTGCTGGGGTACAAGCTTACATGCTATGTCATGCATAAGGATACTGAAGTCACTTGTTTTGAGCAACCTGCATGGATCTTTTCCACCTGATCATTAGCCTGGAAGGAGGACAATAATTGAGTGGAAAAAATCAGGTGTTTGTTCACATGCATACTACCACCACATCATCACTGACAGTGATGTAAGGGGGATATGATTGGAATGTCCATTTGTTAATACTGTTTTTAAAATTTGGTGTGTTGTTGTTGTTTTAAAAAACAAAACAAACTTCAGGTCCAAGTATTTTTATTGATGGAACAGGAACTCACAGCTGATGAAGATATCTCAAGGTAATGTCAATTTCTCTCATCTTATTTGCATAATAGTTGAAATATACTGTCTGATAGTCCAATTATTTTATATTACTCATTTGGAAGGTTTTTTCCCAGTCTTGTTATGAAAACAGGAACATAATCGGTGCCAGTAAGCAGCAGTACACTTCCCCCCCCCATTCCAGTTCATGTTTAATACGGCAATCAGTTCACAAAGATCAAATTAGTCAGACAGGACCCTATATTGTAAAAGTAAATCAGACTTTGGTCTTGCTTCTTTATCAGTACTATTTACGCTAAATTATACGAACAAAGCAGAAGTGTAATTTAGAACCACTAGCTGCAGCTATCTTGTTAAAATTGTTTGGTGTTTTCAGAAGGGTAATATAAAAGTTATCCTCATAGAGAATTGTTCCAGTTCATTTAAAGTATACGCTAAGAGAAGAGCATTGATTTGTGAAGTGTGGACATAAGTGATTAAGAATAACCTGTAGTAAATTCATTTGAATTGTAGAACTTCAGGACCATCTGTTGCTGGCCTGGAAACTACATACACTGGAGGCAATGGATTCTCGACATCCTACAACAGTCAGAGATGGTTAAATCTTTATTTGTCAGCTTGTAAATTTCTGGATTTAGCCTTGGCATTGCCCTCTGAAAATCTTCCTCAGTTTCAGATGTAAGTACACTTTATCTCATTCAAATCCAAGTGTGCCGTAGAAACACTTCATTGTGAGAAAACCTTCATATTTAGGGTGATGCTTCTCTTTGAGCGGCAAGTATTTCTTTATGGACTGTCAAGGCAGGTGCTTTTACAGCCTTCTGCCACCTCACCTTGTATTATGACAGTGAAAATGTGTCTTAGGTGGCACAGCTCCCCATCAGAGGAATGCCCTCCATATAGTGTTGGTAGAAATTCGGGAGAAGCAACTTGGTTAGGGGCCTACTCCCTCTCCCCAGTAACCAACATCAGCCCATGTGCTATCTTGTTTCACAGAATGCTTCTGTCAGGATGCCCAAGACTGTGTCCCAATATGTATGGCAGGGGTGTGTTTTATTACCATTTGGCAAATATATACAAAAGGAAATCAGAAAGGGCTGGGCAGAACAGAACAGAGCAAACAATGCTTTCAAAGTATTTCTTCTTAGAAGTGGCTTCTGTGAAACAGATTGCTTTTTATGCATCTAATTTTACTCCCATGGATCTTGGTTTTTCTTAGCAGATTTTGTCTACATAAAGACCTGCCTGGATATAAATTGACTCAACTAGGGAGGGCTGGTGTGTTCTTGCCAAAGATAACTTGCTGAATGTGATGACTTTGTCCTCTTTTTCTTTAACAGGTATCGCTGGGCCTTTATTCCAGAAGCTTCTGATGATTCAGGGTTGGAGGTGCGAAGACAAGGCACACACCAAAGGGAATTCAAACCATACGTAGTACGATTAGCAAAACTGCTGCGAAAGAGAGCAAAGGTATTTCATTTCTCTTTTCATAAATTATTACTACAGAATTAATGCATATTTTATATCAATGCTGAAAACCATGTGTGGCATTAGGTAGGTTAAATTGGCAACAGCACCTATCAGGGGTGGGGTTCAGCCTTCAAGCCAACTTGTGTCAGCTGTGCACATAGTGTCTTTAGCCTCTTGATCAAAACTTGAAAGTCCTGGAGAATGCCACATACTTGTGTTCAGCATGTTGAGGACTCGGGCAGTCATGCCCCTCAGTGGAGCAGTTTAACTCCAATGTACCGTATTTTTCGTTCTATAGGACGCACTTTCCCCCTCCAAAAATTAAGGGGAAATGTGTGTGCGTCCTATAGAGCGAATGCAGGCTGCGCCGCTAAGCCCAAAGCCAGAACAGGGAGACGGAGCACTGCGGAGCGCTCCGTCTCGCTGTTCCAGCTTGGGGACGGCTGCGCGCAGAGCGTCTCCAGGGCAGCGGGGTGCCTTCACCCCGCTGTCCTGCAGAAGCTGCAAGGCTGTTCCCAAGCCAGAACAGCGAGGCGGAGGGCTCCGTCTCGCTGTTCTAGCTTGGGGACGGCTGTGTGCACAGCCTCTCCAGGGCAGCGGGTGCTGCGCTCCAAAGGCTTCAGGGATCTTTGAGGCTGGCGGTGGGGGAAAGCAGCGCTTCCCCCCACCACCAGCCCCACAAGCCTGGGTGAATGTACCTTGAACTCACCTTGTTTAGAGGGGGAGAACAAGAAAAAAAATTTTTCCCTGTTCTCCCCCTCCTGTGGTCCGGTGCGTCCAATGGAGCGAAAAATACGGTAACTTGCCAATGAAGCTTGTTCCTCCTTCTGTGATTTCCAGGCCAGAGGGACTCGACAGCGGTGGTGGTTTTACTTGCAATATACCCCATCATGCTCTGGTCCTGGGCAACGTATTGATACATCACCCAGGCCTAGTAGACTACGGCTGGGAGATATCTGCTTTGCAACATTGCAATATACCACCATATTGCAAAGCTTAGCTGGTGGTATATCATGTCAGAACAGAGGCAGGGAGGAAGAAGACAGCTGCCAGCCACACAGAGGATTAGCGTCACCATGCACAGCTTCTGCCTCTGTCAAGGCCAGGTGGACAAAGCTGCCACCTCCTCCAGTGCCTGGTACACGGAGCCCTGGCCTCACAAGGCACAGGGTGAAGCTACCACCTCCAGCAGCTGCCCCCTTGGCATGGGGCGGAGGGCTGTCTCCTCCTCCCAGGAGAAAGAGGTAGTTTGCTGTCCCCCCCCCCCCCCCGTGCAAAGGCAGCAGTTTCTTTAAACTTCTCTGCTGAGGGGTGTGGGCAGCTACACACCCTCAGCAGAGAAGTTTAAAGAAACTGCCTGTCCATGGGGTGCAGTGACTGACATTGCACTCTGGGCAATGTATTGATACATCACCCAGGCCTAGTAGTGACCAGTGTAAGTGTGCTAATTTTTGAAGTCTCCTGCAGCATTGCTTTGTCTTGAAATTCTCCTCTCCTCTCTTCCCCCGTCCGCCACATATTAACAGAAAAACCCAGAGGAGGACAGTTCAGGGAAAACACTAAACTGGGAACCTGGCAGCTTACTCCTGACCATCTGTGCTGTTCGCAGCATTGAACAGCTTCTGCCTTTCTTCAACGTCCTGAGCCAAGTATTTAACAGCAAAATCACCAGCAGAAGCATTGGTCATTCAGGGAGCCCCATGCTTTACCCAAATTCTTTCCCTACCAAGGACATAAAAATGGAAACTCAAAAGACATTCTCCAGCAAAGCAAGACAAAAAATTGAAGAAATGGTTGAGAAGGACTTTCTGGAAGGTGTCATAAAAACATGAAGTGTACATGGTAAAATGTTTATCTTGAGTAATGTAACTTCAAATGAAACCACTCCATCCTTCCAGTGTGTATAGTTTCCTTTTTCATACTTTGTATGTAATGTATACTTCAGGGTGTATTTAATTTAAATACCTGTAAATAAGTTCTGGATGTGGCCTGAATCAAGTTGAAATATCGCTGGCTCATATCGATTATGGTGCCTACTATTAAATGTACATTTGTTTTGTCATCTTGAGGTATGTCTTTAAGAAAATTACCAATACAAGTTGCACATTTTTTTCTAGCTGTGTCTTATTTTCTGTCTAGATATCTATGCAGCATCTTACAGGGAGCCACTTTTCTAATCGAAAGCATGGAAAAGTGCTATCTATCAGAGCAGTTCTGTGACTCAGCACTGCTCCCAACATTCACTCCTCTCAATTAACATTGTTTCTGCCATGGCAACTTCCTGTTCCACATTTTCAATTAAGTGACCCTCTCATATGGAGTTACAACTACGTTACTTTTAAATATATGGTTCAAAGTTTTTGCATGTTAAATTTAAAAAATTTCCTTCCCTTGCTACTACTAGTAGGAGCAAAGAGGACACTTATTCACACATGCTTTCTTGCAAGGGGCAGATGAATGCTGCCTAACTATGGAAAAATGAAAAGCTTTGCTTGTCCAACAATGCGGTTGTCAAAATTCAATTTAGTACCTTTGATTTAAAAATTACTTAAGAACTACAGTGACCTAATAAAGTTAACAGAAATGACAACGAGGAGTTAACTCACTTCTAAAGGAACTGCTTTTAATTATAAATTAATTTTGCATTTCATTTAGTAAAGCAAAAGCAGGAAGGTATGGTTTATGACTTACCTTGAAGGATGGTACTTCATTATACTACAGCCTTGGGCTGTTCTCCAACACCTCCAGCTATATGGTAGACAGCCAGGCTAACTTCATGTGCAAGTTTATCTGCATTTTCCTGGAAAGAAGAATAATTGCAGCATGAAGAGATTGCAATTCAAGTGAACACTCAGTCATATCTTCATAGTGTGGATGCTTTGGACAGCTGTACCCAGAAACCAAGGCTGCTATAGTAATCCTATAAGATACCTATCTAAAACACTGAGTGCAGCTAAGATTAAGCTATTTCTTCCAGCTGCTAGAAGGCAACAATTACACAAAAGAGGGACTCACTTTTTTAAAGAATGTGCAAGTTAACTGCAGATTAAATGCATTCAACATCGTATTTAATTTGGGGCCACAGAAACTTCAAAAGTAAGAAAAAGGAGAGGTAGAGGAAGTGCAAGCAGAGATTTCTTCCAAGCAAACTACTATGGTCCTCCTTTGAGTCCCCCCCCCCAAATCTTCGAAGACCATAGGAGACAAAAGCTTTCTGTCCTTTTCTGTCTCTCTTCCCTCTTGCTTCTTCCAAGTGTTTATAAGCAGAGGATGGAATAAGGAACAGAGGAACACACAAAAGACCCATGCTACGTACTATTTTATTCCCCCCACCCCATCCTAAGAAGAGAGTGTACAAGAAGAATATCCATGTCTCCCCTAAGCAAAAAGACTAGGGAGGACACTTAGTTGATAATTTGGAGGTGCAAAAGGGGAAGATGCTCTCGAAGTCAGATTGTGCCCAAGCTGCTAATTGCTTAACCTTTGGCTGTATATAAATGTAATAATTAGTGTTTGCAAACAAAGTTTGCATAGTGGTGGGTGGGAACCTACTGTCTGGACTCAAAATTCATCTCTACCACACTGCATTGAGGATATTAATCACTTTGGTTCTGACCTGTGTGTCTGCTTCAGCATAGACTCTGACGATGTCTTCTGTTCCAGATGGGCGAACGAAAGCTCGAGCCAATTTAAACCTCTGGGTGAGCTCATCAATTCTCTCCTGCAGCCCTGGGGGTGTAACTGCTCGCCTTTCAGCATCCGTAGTGTCAATTACACGTCTGTCAGCAACCTACAAGTCCACGTAAAGGAAGTGATACAATCTGACTTGTTACAAGCTCTAATTTTACCTGCAGATTTTGCAACAGTAAGAGGAGAGAGAGAACACAGACCTAGTTTTGATACGGATTTGTATTGAGTGCTCTGCAAAGCCCACAAGATATTGTCACTCCTGCACAATTCTCCACCTACATTTTTCAATTTTTGGTTGTCAATGATTGTCTCTTCCCACTTATACATAACTAGACCTAAATCACATTTTGTGTTTGTCAATCACTGAAACTGCTGGGTTATGCCAAGGTTTCTATCTCACTCTCCCAGATCTTGACCTCTAGTGAGAGTTGTATTAACATGCACACATTGGAATATCCCAGGCACCAGGAATGTTTTATAGCTCTGGTCTGTGCTGTGATGAAACTCAATTCTATGTGAATACATAACTAAGAAAGGGTGTGTGGAGGCAGTGAGGACCAACATTACACCCCCAATTTCAAGGTTAATGACACATTGTGCAAGTTTTGGTTCGTTGAAAAAACTCTAGTTACCGTAATTTTCGCTCCAAAACACGCACTTTTTTGCTCCTAGAAAGTAAGGGAAAATGCCTGTGCGTGTTAAGGAGCGAATGCACTCGACTGGATCCATGGCTGCCGTCAGTGAAGCAAAGCAAGCTTTGCTTGCTTTACAGCCAGGAGGAGGGGGAGGAGCCGAGGAGGGAGGGAGGGAGGGAAGGAGAGCCATGGCAGCAAAGCGGGCAGCAGCCGCTTACACGCGAGGAGGGACAGACGGGAGCCATAGGGAGCCGGAAAAGCGCCGCGTAGCCAGCAACAGCTGCTGCAGCCTCAGCTAGCAACGCTCTCTAAACGGAGCAATGAGGCTGCAGAGGGACGGCAGGGCACAGGAGGGCTCTGAGCCACGAGCGCAGTGAAAACCAGTAAAAAAGTTTTTAAAAAGGCTGCTGGGGACAGGAGGGCACGGGATGAGGGAGAGAGGGAAATTACGATTCTCCCAGCGTCTCAGCTGATCCGCTGAGCAGGACTTGGGTTGCAGGGGATTCGCCATTAGCTGCGTAAAGCAGCAAAGAGGGAGAGAAGGAGCAAAGTGGGAGAGGAAAGGAGCTGCTTACACTGCTGTAAGTGGCTGCTGTCTGGTTGGCTCCTTTAAAGCAACAGTGCTCTTTCCCTCCCCCCTCCCCTCTCAGCTCGCCGAAAAGCTCCTTTTCCACACACCCCACTCGAGCTCCTTCTCCCCTTAAATCCCTCTCCTGCATCATTAGCCACATCCTTCTCCACCCACCCCACGCGTGTTCCTTCTCCCCTTAAATCCCTCTCCTGCATCATTAGCCACATCCTTCTCCACCCACCCCACGCGTGTTCCTTCTCCCCTTTAACCGCTCGCCTGCATCATTAGCCACATCCTTCTCTACACACCCCACGCGTGTTCCTTCTCCCCTTAAATCCCTCTCCTGCATCATTAGCCACATCCTTCTCTACACACCCCACGCGTGTTCCTTCTCCCCTTAAATCCCTCTCCTGCATCATTAGCCACATCCTTCTCTACACACCCCACGCGTGTTCCTTCTCCCCTTAAATCCCTCTCCTGCATCATTAGCCACATCCTTCTCCACCAACCCCACGCGTGTTCCTTCTCCCCTTTAACCGCTCGCCTGCATCATTAGCCACATCCTTCTCTACACACCCCACGCGTGTTCCTTCTCCCCTTAAATCCCTCTCCTGCATCATTAGCCACATCCTTCTCCACCCACCCCACGCGTGTTCCTTCTCCCCTTTAACCGCTCGCCTGCATCATTAGCCACATCCTTCTCTACACACCCCATGCGTGTTCCTTCTCCCCTTAAATCCCTCTCCTGCATCATTAGCCACATCCTTCTCTACACACCCCACGCGTGTTCCTTCTCCCCTTTAACCGCTTGCCTGCATCATTAGTCACATCCTTCTCTACACACCCCACGCATGCTCCTTGTCCCTTGAATGCTTTTCCTTCCCTCCCTACTTAAAACGTGGTTACAAAGCACGGATCCACATGGATCCTCAGGATTTTTGCACTGGGTCACCCCAGGTTCACCATCAGATCACATAAAATGTCCATGGCTACAGCCTGCACCAAAAAAATCACGCACCCACTGTTTCATGGGGCTGCAATGGCGCAAAAACGTGGTTACAAAGCATGGATCCACATGGATCCACAGGATTTTTGCATTGGGCTACCCCAAACTCACCGTCAGATCACGTTTGTGGCCACAGCATGAACCACAAAAATCATACATCCACTGTTTTGTTTAGAATATTTTTTTCTTGCTTTCCTCCTCTAAAAACTATGTGCGTGTTATGGTCAGGTGCGGTTAAAAAAGTCTATGGTAATTTAGCCTTTGGTCACCCAGTGCAACTATTTCCAGACGTGCATGCTTACAGGAAGGCTTCCAAAAGCCAATTCCCACTGCAACATATAAAACGACTACAGTGGTACCTCGGGTTAAGTACTTAATTCGTTCCGGAAGTCCATTCTTAACCTGAAACTGTTCTTAACCTGAAGCATCACTTTAGTTAATGGGGCTTCCTGCTGCCGCACGATTTCTGTTCTCATCCTGAAGCAAAGTTCTTAACCTGAAGCACTATTTCTGGGTTAGTGGACCTGAAGCATATGTAACCTGAAGTAGCACTGTACATTGTCAGAAATGCCCTTGAACCAGCAATGTGTTGTCCAAAGCCAACCCAGGGCCAGAAAGGTAATAGGTTATTGTTACAGTGCACAGTAGTTGGGGTATTTTGTTTTGTTTTTTTAAAAAAGGTTATCCTGAGTCTTTTATAAATAAAACCTCCACCAATTAGGGAGATTCTGTGCAGTAAAGTAGCAGACACCCATTTTCAAAAAGGTGCAGTTATCGATAGTGTCGTCTCTGGCCTAAGCTCACATGCCATGCCATGAAATACTAATAAGCCAGCCAGGCAGGACTAAAAAAGCCTGAGGCAGCCAGAAAGCACTGGATCTGGGCTTCCTCAGGCCAGCATGGATCCTGCCCATCTGCTGGCAACAGAGAGCTGACAGCATGCTACAGCATCTCAATGACTGCCCAACAAACAAGGAAGACCCACGGGGATGAAAAAGACCCTCCTTGTCTCTGACCCAACACAGTAATTTGTGTTTGCAGGCAGTTGGGAAAGCAAGCAAGTTTGTAGGTCACTGAAATGAACCACTGCTGCAACCAGTAGCATTTCTGTCCACCACTGACTTCCCACTAACCTTCACTTTGAGTTGCCGGCTGGGAAGATCTGTGTACATGGAGTCCCACTGTTGTACTGTGAGATTCTTCAACACTAAGATGGCTTCAATCACCAGCATGTCTGAGACAGCATCACCAATCGTCTGGCATAGACAGCAAAAAATAAAATAAGAAAGGAAAGGAGAGAAAACCAGTAAATAAAACCAGTATGGCAGAGGCAGCCTTGATTCCAGTTAATAATCTGGATTCTCACGCTCAATGAGCCTAAAAACTGCCACATGGCCTACATCCTTTAAAAAAATATTATTTATTAAATTTGTATACTGCTCTTCATCTGAAGATCACTGGGTGGTTCACTATATAAAAGTACAAAATGAGAACACAAAATACATAATAAAACAAAAACGAAGACAAGCCAATAGTAGGTAAAGAAGCTGCTTAAGAAGAGGCCATAAGTTTACCTGAAGGGTGTTTGTGTTGGTACCAGGAAGCAGCTACCACCACCAATGTAATTAGGCAAAAGCCCTTGACTTGCCCCAGTACTTTCCACTAAGCTACCTTCTGCCCCAGAATATATCAATGTTCAAAGCAGGGTAAGGAAGCACCCGCCACAATCTCACAGTGTAAAGCAAAGGGATTTGAAATACAAATGTATTATCAGGCTCTTGGGAACTATAAAACAAGTCTCCATCCCCCACAGTCATTTTACAGGTCAGATAACCAACCCATTATCATCAGATTCAATTTGTCACTAGGGATGGAGCAAGAATTCAAACAGGAGGTACCTGACTCTGTGAGCACTTCTGCTCTAAATTACAACAAGCAACAATCAAAGCAGAACACCTTGAGTCCACTTGCATGCCTTGTCAACTGATTCTTCCATCCCCAGTTGACAACCCCACCAGCACAAACATGAAGACCGGAGGGTCCAGGGAGACATCTCACCCTGTGGTGACTTTTTCCCATCAGGAAATAATGGTCCTACGAATTACATGATGCAGATGTATCCCAGATTATTAGTTCCCAATGGTAATTTGCTCTCTTTTTCAACACAGAGTCATCATGTAACATCTTTGAAACTATTAGTATTAAGAATTTAAAGACAAACTTTAGCTCTTTGTCAACATTCCTACCTGATTAATCAAGTCAATAGTATTTTCAAGCATCTTTGCAGCTTCTCTTTTTTGGTTGTTTTTTTCCTCCTTTGCCTGGTATCTTATTTTCTGCTCTGCAGCTTTACTAAACAGTACCTGGAAGGAGGAACATATTCGACAGTCTGAGGGATGCAGCATGGCCACTGTCACCACCATCTCCCAATTACCACAGGTGATAGTGGTGTATCACTGATGCTTTGAAAGAAAGACTGGTACTCCCCCAAAATGATGTGCATATGATTGGGACACAAGGGAGTACACTAGATTTTATTCATACCCTATGAGAAATAAAGGCTCCTATTCCTAAAAGTAAGGTCTGCAAAGCTCCGTGCAGACCAGCTTCCATTTCCAATAGCAGTCGGCCAAATCTTATTTCTGAGAAGCTCATGAACAGGGCAAAAGTTCCCTCCCAACATCCTATAGTGTCTCTCTGGAATGTGGTGCTCAGTTTCTGGAACCAAGACAGTATTTTTCTAGGAATTTTAAATGCCAAAACTGTAAGCAACAACCTGGCTATTAGTTACTTGCCTCTGCCTAGTTTTATGCAGCCCTCAAGCTCATTTCAACAGCAGTCTGTAAGTGATCAGTTCAGACCTCAGACAAAAGTGATCTAGCTCTTCCCCAGTAGTAGCCTGCTAGGCTGGGAGGAAAAGAGAGAGACAGACAGGCAGAGAAGGGATGGCCGAGGGGATATAAGAACATATGAAGAGATCTGCTAGATCAGGTCAAACCCCATCTGGCCCAGCATCCTGTTCTCCCACAGGCCAACCAGGTGTCTATTGGAAGCCTGCAACTAGGACCTGAACCCAACAGCACTCTCCTCACTTGTGTGTCCCAGCAACTGGCATTCAGTGGCATACTGCCTCGGAAAGTAGAGGAAGAATGTAGACATTATGGCTAGCATCCATTGACAGACAAATTTGTGGATGATAAGGCTAATCCTTTTAAAGCAAGAGGTTGCAAAAAGAGAGAACAGTGAATAGCCCCACCCACAATCAGCATGTGGCTCCTGACAGAAAAAGGTGACCCATCCTAAGACTACAAACTCTCTTATCCCCATGCTAAGTGCAACAAAAGCTAGGCAAAAGCCAAGCTCTTTCACTTACTCCGGCCTCTGACTGACTTTCGGAATTTGTAAACAAATTAAGGGCTGAAACTCATTCTGGGTTCTTTATCCCAGAATAACTGGGATGGGATATGAGACAAGAGGAGAAAGGATCAGAGAATATTACAGCAGTGTGGTGAGGAGCAGCTGGAAAAGTTATCAGTTTAGATAGGGGACACAATGAATTTTATTTACCCTTCTTGAGGTTGAGGATGAAGTTTATTACAAACAAACAAAAAAAGAGCAGAGAGAGAGAGAGATTACAAGTGCAAAACGCTTACCGTGCCATGACCATTTGCTTCAAAATAAACTCCAATGTCAAATTCCTGGGCCTTGTGATGCAAGTGTTTCACTCCTGTTTTTGCACAGTGGACAGGCACCTAGGAGAGGAAGACCAAGCGAACCATCTGTGGTGAGATGGAGCTGTAGGGCTGCACCTTAAAGCCAAGCTTTTCCTGCTTGTATCAAAACTAAAACCCACATGCCTGACCAAAAAATTGGTGGGAATGCTACTTTGAAAAATGTTATACACAACAGTAACCAGGTAATTTTAAACTTCAGACTTACTGGTCTAATGGCTTCATAATTGGTAATGTGTATTGTGTCATTTATTTCAAAATAGGTTAAGCCAACCCTGCTGCATTTGGGGGCCCTCCTGTTCATTCTGCAGAGGGTTCCTGGACCCCTGAACTCCAACCCTGATGGCACCACTGGCCAGCTATTTCACACAACTAATCTCCATGGATTCCAAAGCTCTTAATATGAGGGCCAGAATAAATTATTATTTTAATTACTGTTTTGGAGGAAAAAGGTAGAACTCTGTAACATCTCCTCCTCTAGGTTAGGGCAATTGCACACAAGTCTTGGTTACTAAAAGATTCATTTGCATTGTTGTGTAATTAGGCCTGGACGGTTTTTACATTATTTTTAAGCACAGATGTTAGATGGCAGGGCATGCAAGCGTTGAATTAGTACCTTCATGGTTTCTTCCAAATAACGTGTAGAGCTCCCATTGGCATAGGCTGTTTGTATGACTGCAAATGATAAGGTCTGCCCAGCCTGAAGGAAGAGAAGAATGCTATTTGCATAATCAGATCTTCATGAAAACACCATATGAAACCATTATTATTATTATTTAAAAATCTCTGCCTTGGATGTTCATAAATTCCAGTTGGCAAAGACATGTTAACATTTCACATTGGGACAGGAAGTGTTCTTCACAAACTTTCAGAACTCACACACTTAAAAACAGGGCAAGCATGCTATTGGTGAAAGTCAAGAGTACACTTGATATCCCAGCCCAAAACTGATGGCAAGTATTCCAAAAATCCCTTCTACTTAAAGACAGTTGCCTTTAAAAACCACTATGTTAAATAGCTGCAATTACTTTTATTTTTTGCTGATCTAATTTCATTTAAAAAACCCAAACTGTTCCAAAAAAAGGGGGGGGGAATGAGCCAAAGAACCGCTTGGTGAATTATTTGCATTATTGAAACTATCATACACTGTTAAAAGTTCCAGCTAATTATGTTTTCAACTGTTAATTTCCTCAATTTAACCATGCAGCAAGTGAAAGAATTCCATTACCTTGACCAGAAGTTCCTTAAGAAAAGTGCTGATTAGAGTTGCTATTTTATCTCCATCAAGAAGATGAAAATGGCCAGCAGGGTCATTATAGTAGTAAACAATTCGGTCAGCATCACCATCGAATGAGCAGCATCTCTCACCAGGCTTCATTTCCAGTCCTAACAAGCAGAGTAAACAAAGTAAATACAAAAAATAATTGTTTGGCCTCAGGAATACTGGCACTTAAAAAGTCAAGGCATTCAGTGTTCTTAATATGTTTCAGAGCAACCTACAGATTAAATAGGATAGCAGAAACAGACAGAAATGAACTACCCATTTTGTTAGGATTTCCTCACAGTACCATGTGCCAATCTAGTTTCCCACTTGTTCTTTAAAATCTTTTATTTATAAAAGAGCCAAAGTGCTAATGATACGGACTGAGTCTGTGAGCAGTGTCCCTAAGCTGAGTATGGTTATAGGCACAGACATTAAGGCTCCCCACCCCCAAGGGTGACGAGAGGGAACAGAGGTTAGCTAGAAATAAAACAGGAAGGGAAGAAGACTAATAGTGGAAAGGATTGGACTCCCTAGGCTTGCGGATAGCAGCCTGCATCCCAAAGCCTGGGGTGCACTGAGCAGCGCGCCCCGGGCTTCGGGCAGATATTCGCAAGCCTGGGGAGCCCAGCGGGAGTTCCCGCCGGGCTCCCCAGGCTTGTGGATAGCAGCCTGTTCTGGGGGCTGGGGTCGGGGGAAGCTCGGGCTTCCCCCGCCCCAGCCCCGTGCTGGGGGGGGATTTTTCCCCCCTTTATCCCCCTCCCAAACTAGGTGCGCCCTATGGGCCGGTGCACCCTATAGGGCGAAAAATACAGTATATAAAAAATAGATAGAGAAGGGCTCAGCACGAGAAAGTGAAACTTCAAAATATACATTACATTATACATTACAAATGCAGAAGGTGTATCTGCAAAATAGTCTCATCTAGTCTTAGCTAGACAGACAGAATTAGGAAGTGTGTTCCATTATTATTAAAGAACTCATATGCCTTGGTATCCAACTATCTAAGCATATATTAACATCTTCATCACCCAAAGTGAGACAAGCTGAGTTTTGGATAGGTGTCTGCCTGAGAAAACAGGGAAGCAGTTTGATCGTGTCAATAAAGCTGACAAGCTTTCCCAGCTTCATTAATCAATCTCTGACATGGGTGTCTACTCTGTACTGTTGTAAAATATCTAATTTTCTGGATTGTTTAAACTCTTTTAAATGTATATCATACAACGACTCAAGACAAGTGTGTGGAAGGCAAAAAAATAAATGAATGAGAAACCCTCCTACCTCTCCAAACTTCCAGAGACAATTAGTCCGGGGATTAGCCCAGAGCTGGTTTAAGATTGAATGTATTAGTAGAAAAGAATGATATTATGATGAGGTGATGTCATCATAGAACTTTAGGGTTCTCTGTTCTAAGTTAATATTGAGACAGACTTTTTAAAAAACACGAGTGTGTTATTAGGGAATATACATTTGTCATTACATACCCACAGGAGGCTTCTGATGAACTTTTACAAAATCGGCACCACATTGGTGATTGAGTTCTCCTTTAGTCCCATCATTGCTGAAGTGTATTACGAAGCAGCTTGGAAGATAGCGTTCCATTTCTTTGAGTTTGAGAGCACCTATGCCATTTGCACAATCTACCTTCAGGCAAATGTGGCCATCCCTTTGGCTAGTAGCCTGCAGGCAAGAAAGCAAAGAAAGGGTCCTTTAACAGTTGTCTCTGAACTCCTACCACCTGCTCATATGCAACACTGACTGTGCTCTGGAGCAGACAGCCAAAACAAAGTAAACACAAATGAAAAGAAAAACAGGACTCAAATTGGTGTTTGAATGTGTAGATTCTGGAACAACTTCCTCTCTATTTCAACCAGTGACTACTAGAGCCCATTGGGACTGGTAGGGCTGAAGGGAGAGTGATCCAGCAGTAGGTGGCAAATAGTTAGCCAATTTGTTTTGTCCCTATCCTCCTCCCTGCTCTGTTCTACACAGGCGACAGTGAGATTAAGGAGGAGGAAACTCACAGGTAGTACCATCTGCTGGATTGACTGTAGGCAGAGGCTGAGGGTACACAGAAGGTGGTGCAGCAGTGCCCCCCCCATTTGTTCTACTGGACCAGCCTCCAATGATTTCAATGTTTCATCTTTATCAGGAGCAAAACACATTTTGCTCTGCCCTATTACAATGATGGCAGCAATATGTAATATCTATTTTCCTACTGCTAGTTTTAGGCTGCCTCTTGTTTTCTTAAAACTTTTGTTGCTACTGCTCATTTCTTTCTGCTAAAGCAAACTATCATATACTTTAAAGTTATAAACCTGTTCAGTTGTCTACATGAATGAAATGCTAAAAGCTCAACCTTAATCATGGTTACTGTTAAAAAAAGTCCCACTGTTTTCCATAGGGTTTACATCCCAATTTTCCTCATAAAGCCAATACCATTTTGAATAATTTATATACAAAATCACAGTTGATCACATTTAACTTCTATGGCATTAAAAGCTTGCTTAAATCAAAATATTATCCTAAAAGAAAGAAAGGTCCAGCAACAGCAAACAGTTCTAGGGCAAGCATTTAAAGAACTTAAGCCAACACTATAAAGGCCCTGCTCTTTGTCCACAGCAACGTAACAGCATAGAGTTGACACTCAAATGAAGAACCTGTTGCCATTCTTCATAGGAAGTTCATATGGGCAGAGGGGGGGGTCTTAGGACTATTACATTAAGTATATTCAAGAATGCAAGCCAAGACTTGAAAAACAGCTCTTTCACCTGCATTGTAAGCTCCACAAAAGCCTTGGAGAGTTTCTGGTAGTAACCTTCCACGGTTGCAGTCCCATAACTCCCATGAGTGTTTCGACAGCAGACCATGTAGTGTAGTTGTGGTGTTGTTACCAAGCCATAATCTAGTTTAAAGCATACACACTGGTCAAGGATTGACACTATTAAGCTTCAGGGACATATTTCACAGTACCTTATTACATTTGCTCAAGTAAAGGTGCAGAAAGGAGAGATTTAAAAAAAATGCTTTAAATGAAATACGTCATCACTGATTTCCACTATGGATCGAAGGGGAACATCATCAATCCTTAAATAAGCAAGCACAGGGCATACCTTGGTATTGACCTCCAAGAGCAGACACGCCATCAATCACTGATTGTGAAAGCTTCTTACTGCTAGATCTGGATGCAAGACACAGGAATAAGGTTACTTTTGTTGAAATGCTATCCAAGCACACCAGTTTACCCCAATTCATTCTTGACACATGAATACAGACAAACAATATCAACATGCAGGACACAAGTGAGATCTACGTCTCTAGAGGGAATAAATCACAACAGCCAAAGAGATAGGGATGTGATAGGACATACTCGGAACTTTCCTAGCAACTTAAAAATATTTGCCTTATGCTATATTTGTTAATTATATTTCTTTAGGACATTTATATTGCACTTTCCTTCCACCACAGAACTCCTTACACAGGTCTCCTATCCAAACCATGACCGGCCCAAATCTGCTTGGCTTCAGCAAGGTGGCTGCATTATCCAATAGAAATGTTTAAAATGTTGTATGGGGGAACATCCATGGAAAGACCGACAGGCATCATTAGATTGGAGGTGCACAAGACAGGGACTTTTCTACAATTGCTCTACGTTTGTGGAATTCCCTCCCTTAGCAACCTCTACTTTATTGGCCTTTAAACAAACCCTGAAAACATTTTTCTTTCCAACTGTTATTTAACAGCTGATGTTTTAGTGCAGTATATTTTAATATCTTATATATTTTAATTATATATTTATTTTCATGTCTTAGCTTTATATTGTGGTTTAATTCATATATTGGCCTTGAAAAAGTTTTGCTCTGATACCTACATTTTTGAAAAAATATACAGGAAGAGTTAATGTGTATATTACCTAGTCACTCCCAAGATGTCTATCAGGTTTATTTTTACCTGGTGTCTCTGCCAATAACAATGAAGGCCTCCTGCTGAAGGTCTACAGCTTCCTTTTGGCAGATGTCAGTCAGCACTCCCTGCAATTCATGTTCTTCTGCATTGGCCAAGTGTGTGGCGTGCTCTTCCCAGATAGGTGCCAACATTTCACCCAATGGGTCAATCAACTTCACACCATTGTCTTCCTTGGAAAAAGACAAGACATCAATGTAAAAGCTTCTTTAAACATAGGCAATCTTGACTTAGGAAAAGAGCAATCAGCCTAAATGATCCTTTTAGTTCTACAGTTCTAAAAGCATACAGTGGAATTTCGACTTACGTACGGCTATACTTACATACAATTCCAGTTACGACCTTCAGTAGGTGCTTTGACTTATGAACTTTCCTCTAGCTACGAACAGAGGCCTTGCCAGCAGCCCGGAGCTCGCTTTGCCGGCAGCCCGGAACAGCACTGGGGCATCTACCGCCAGGGAGAGACCTCCAGTTTGCCGGAGCTCACCCCACTGGCTGCGGAGCAGTGCTGAGGCCTCTGCTGCCGGGGAGAGGGCCCCCATCCCACCCATGAAGCTGTGGAAGAGGTGCAGCCTGCAAGAGGCACAGCAGGGTGCACTGCAGCCCCAAATCCTGCCAAGGAACTAACCTGAGGAAGTCCAGAGAAGAACCTGGCCTGGCAAGAAAAAAAAGTGACCCTGGCCAAAGTGAATCAGCTCTTTACTGACCCTTGCCCCACCCCCAGCTTGTAGTCAGGTAAGCCCGCCCAACCTCAGTGCACATAAGGGGGGGAAAGTTAATTTTTTTCATCTACAATACTGTCTTATTTATTTTATAGTACAGTACATTGATTATTGCCTTCATTTTATGGATCTATGGTCTTCTTAGACAGTAAGATCCGTGTTAAATTGCTGTTTAGGGGGTGTTTTTCATCATCTAGAACGGATCAATTCACTTTTCCATTACTTTCTATGGAAAAGTGCACCTCTATTTATGTACGTTTCTAGTTATGACCAGACCTCCGGAATGGATTATGGTTGTAAGTAGAGATTCCACTATATTGATAATGGTTAAGTCACAGCACCCGTATAGCACGCCCCCTTAATCTGTAGCTCAATTTCTTTTTTCCTATCTGAAATACTCATTCACTTACTTCAGGGTTGTGAGAGGCTGTAACCATAACACCAATGGTGGATTTTTTCTTCTTGGATCTCAATACGGCCAGCAAGCCCATGCAAAACATTGTGTGATCAAGGTCCTCTGCCTTGGTACGGAAACCAGCTGTTCCATACTGAAGGGTAAGTCCTGGAGGTTTGGCATGGAGCTTTGAGTACTTTGCAACTGCTTCAAAATCCATCTCTGTAAGAGGCAGAATAAATTGATACAGCTATGATTAACATTACAGGTGACCATATTGTGACAGCAATACCAAAACCAGGAGGATGGGGAGATAATAGGATTTAACTTACACCAGAATAAGTTATGTGAGATGAGGAAGTTTAAAAACAGAGAGAGGGCGTGTGTGCACAGAAGTACAATTACTTGCTTATACCAGTGATGTCTTCCAGATGAAGGCAGCCCTGTATCAGGAAGTTTTAATGTTTGACATTTGATTATGTTTTTATATTTTGCTGGAAACCGCCCAGAGTGTCTACATAAACCCAGCCAGATGGGCAAGGTATAAATAATAAAATTATTATTACTATGATGGTGATGATAATGAAATCCAACTCCCTTCAGTCCCAGTCAACATGACTAATGGTCAGGGATGATGGAAGTGATAGCACAACAGCATCAGGTTGTTGGGAAAGATGGAGGGCACAAGGAGAAGGGGACAACAGAGGACGAGATGGTTGGACAGTGTTCTTGAAGCTACAAGCATAAGTTTGACCAAACTGCGGGAGGCAGTGGAAGACAGGAGTGCCTGGCGTGCTCTGGTCCATGGGATCACGAAGAGTCGGACACGACTAAACAACTAAACAACAACAACAACTCCTGGCTTGCACAACAACTCCTGGCTTGCACATAGACTAGCACACTGAATTAACTATCCCACTATCTCAGACTAACCAGTCCAAAGTATCAGGGGTTGGAAGAAATTGGTTACAAGACAGAGTTAACTTTCTGTTTTCACACTCCTAAATGCAACATCAACAGCATCTGTATTCCAACACTGATTATTTCAGAGTGATTAGTTGCAGTTGTGGTGATATTGGAGGTACCTTTGCTTTAACTGTAGGTTTACTTTGTATTTTACAGTATTGCAATTTCTTATCACGAACCACCAAGGGATGTATTTGCATGGAATGCAATATGCAACTACCTTAAGCAATGGAAGAGTGTGTAGAAAGGGTAGTTGGCCCACCTGGAGGAATTAAACAAGCTAGCTTTAAAAAGCCTATGACTCTAGTAGTCATGATGACCATCTAGCTGGTACATCCCGACAAAGCCAACCTTGCTTCCATCGTGCCCCACCCACCTATGTCCAAGTAAGCAGCAGTGACACCAGAGGGTGGCTTTGCACTTCAATCCTACACCACTAGTCCCCCCCCCCAACTAAACAAGAAACCTCAAAAACTGCAACCTTTCCTCAGAGAGTTGTTGTTCCTGCCCCTTGATAATTTTGAAAGCCTTTTCCTTAATCCTTTCCAGGACTATGGTATCATTTATTTATTTTTTTGAGATGTGGTACACAGTATTCCAAGTACTGTCACACTATAGACTTTTATAATGATCTCTAATATGGAATTCTCTTTTTTCATACCTCCTGCACGCTACGGGGGGCTTCACACTTGCAAGCCCAACAACTCCTTCCTGGTCGGTCACTGCCAGCTCAGAAGACCTAGCAAATATACTTACCCCAAAGTGCATTACTTAACTCTTGCTTAGGCTAAACGGCATCTACCGTTTTAACGCCCACTCACCCAGTTTGGGGACACACCTTTCTTTTTACCGCCTTGAACAAGCCCAAACAAACGAAGCCACCCCACTTACCGACCTGCAACGCCCTGGAGGAGTTCTGCGAGCGGACGTGGCTGTTCCTCGGAAGCATCCAACTCGCCCTTCCGGGAGGCTCCGAAGCAGCCTCGCTCGCCGGCTGCGCCTATCGCATTCGCCGGCAGCCGCAGGGGCGGGGCTTCGGGCGTCTCCGCCTCCCATTGGCCGAGCGGAGCGAGCGCTGAGCGGGGTGGAGCCGCTTCCACCCGCGCAGCCTCGACGCGTAACTCGGGCTCATTGGACTCGTGGCATTCGAGCGTGGCAAGAATCTCGTCTCCCGGGCTTGGCTGGATCCGCCTAGCAAACGCGCAACTGCACCGCGCGCGGCGCCATAAGGACAGCGAGAGCAGCCCCGCTGGATCAGGCCTGTGGGAAGCGCGCAAGCAGGATTGGAGCCCAAGGGCCCTCTCCCTCCCGCGGTTTCCAGCCGGCAGCTTGGCCTTTGGCAGGAGAGAGAGAGAGAGCGACCGCCCGCGAGCTTCAGCTGGGGCAGCCTTGGCCAGTCCTTTAGCGGGCTTCCTCAGAAGTAAGGCTGTGCTCGGGGTGGGCCTACTTGTCCCCTCTAGGAAGCGGCAAGCCTGGCTTTTAAAACGAACAGGCCCCGCTTCCCAGTGAGCTCAGGGTGAAAAAATAAAATGAAACAGTAACGTATCTTAACCGCAGGCAACACGGTTCATATAGAATTTGAATTCAAACCTCCCTCCGCTGCGCCTGCCACTGAGGCTCCCTTCGCGCGCGCGAAGCCCAAGCCCTCCTTTAGCGACGCGCATGCCCAAGAAAGGCGCTCGCGCAGCCAACATTTCGCCTCCTGGCATCACGTGGCTGCTCAGGTGTTTTCATGCGCGCGAGGGGGGCGTGGTCTTTCGCATGCGCGGGCCTCCCAAGAGGTACGTTGGTTCGGAGGGTCCACGCCGCGAGACGCTGCGCTCCCTTTGCCTCTGAAGGAACGAGCCAATCACTCGCTTCGTCCCTAAGAGCGTGGGCTGATTGGCCTCGCTCCCGGTGTTGAGGGATCTGGCGGCCGGTTCCTTTCGATGGGCTTCGCAACGTCCTCCGCCGCGTGCTTATTGGAGGGAGGGAGCGGGGCCATTTTAATTCCGCACCGACGGCTGTAAGGGCGGGTAATGGCCGCTGGAGGATTTGCCGATGCCTCCCGCTCTCAGATACCGCTGGTGGAGCCTCTTGTCTGGCTTCAGCAATTATTATTATCCCACGGCAAGGGATCTCAAGAGATGGCAGCCTGCTGCTTAGCAGTTTTGGGACTGCGCGGAGTGTGCACCACGTGATTTCTCCGCATTGGAACCTTGTTCACACGTTAAGCTGAACGTTCCAAGCTGTGTATACGTGCGTACACGTTTGTCTGAAAGTGTGCCCTTGATCATTTTTGTACAGTTCCACTGTTGCGCATAAAGATATGCAGTTGGTGTGAGTTGAATGTTATATTTTAATAACTACAAGTGTACACCTGAACTATTCATGTATGCAGTTGTACGGATTGTATACATGTTGGATCTAAGGTGAAGAAGGGGCGGGGTACTCTAAACTGGACACGGTATAGATTACTAACCCTTCATATACTGTGAGGTCTAAAAGAGAGGTGAATACATTGTATTGTACTTCTTGAGACATTTGGTTGTTCACCAGCAGAGAATTTTCATTAGATCAGGGATAGGTAACCTGGGGCCTTCCAGTTGTTGCAGAAGTAAACATCTGTTGTTGCTGACTATGGCTAGGTTGACTAGGGCTGATGAGAACACCTCAAAGGCTACAGACTCCCATTCCTAAATTAGATGGACTTTTGATCTGACCCAGAAGGGCAAATCTTACATTTTTAAATTGCAACCGGAACTGCCACATAAAAACAGTAAGATCATACAGCTGGGGTGGGGGGAATTGCTGACAAAAGCAAGTGGTACATTGGTTTTCATCTGCTACTGTTTGGTCCCGCCTACCTTCTACAGAACATCTGCCTACTATGTGATGATGTGCTTGCATCACAAGTCACTGGGTGGGATTTGCAAGTTAAAGTGAAGGGTCACTATCATAGCCACATATGATAGCCTGGCAAAACTGAGTCAAACCTGACTGGAGAGCACTCTAGCTGAGCCTCTATGGAACATTCATTGTTTGTATTGGACTCTCAGAACAAATGTGAGCAGCTTACAATACATTACAGAGGAGTTAAGGTGGAAACCCATCAGTTGACTTCTCTGGTTTGGGGAGCCCACCTTGAAAGTGGTATTTGAGGCATATGTTGTTCAAATGTGGATGTCAATATCTCCCTACCAGTGTTCGAAATTTGCCAGGTGCCTTTTGTACCTGATTATCAGCCGTTCGCAACCAAGTGAAGATGCCAGGATGCCACCTGACATCTTCACCATTTGGAGATGCATATCTGGGAATCATTGAATCAGTTATATTTTATCTGCACAATCAGAATTAATTTCAGGAACCAAAATGCTTTTTCTGTGCAGCCTGAGCAAGAGCAGTGATCAACGTTGTAGTTAACTGTTAAAGCTTGTCTTCACTTACCCCACCACGCTGCTCACGCTTGTGAAAAATATCCTTATGTTATGAATGTCACCACTGAGAAAAAGAGGTAGGAACAGACCAATATATATGTGGACTGTCCCTGGATCAAGTGACTTTTCTTGTAAGTTCTCAAAATTCTTAACCTAGCTGAAGTTCACCATATGAACTAGCCAGATGTTTAACTGATAAGCCATCACAGTCAATCCATCATTTGAAAAATAAGACTAGAGCCGTCTTGCCCAAAAATAGCAACTAGACATTCCCTTTAGGCGACAGTAACCTTGGTTTAAGGAGCCATTTGGCGCCTAGATTATATATCTGAGTTCCTAACAATGCTTCAAACCAAGACGTCTTTAACTAGGCACCAGCTGCTGGAGATAAGCTTACAGCTGCTTTGCTCTTTCCTGGTCCTTTTTACTTAAAACAAAAGAGCCTGTTGGACCAGGCCATTGGCCCATCTAGTCCAACATCCTGTCTGTTTAGTGGGCAACCAGATGCCTATGGAAAGCCCCAGAGGACCCAAGTGTAACACACTCTACTCTCTAATGACTCCTAGAAAGTGGCCTAGGTCTGTTTACTTGGCAGCAAAAATAAACAGGCAGGAGCAAAGTGGCCGCAAGCTCATCTCCAAGAACCTGCACATTCATGAGATCCCAGTGTGCCATAGTTTGACTTACCATTTTGTGCAAACCTGGCCAACAACTGTTATTAGCTTCCAGCCAAAGACAATACATTAAGAAGGAAGAGAAAGCAGTAAGAGAACCACTTAAAAGTACAATGTGCTTTCACTGCAAACAGAACACTCAGGATACTTTGCATGGATATGATTTTCACTGTGGAAACTGGATAGTCATTAACGTTTGTAATTTTATGACCAGTGCAAAATGGAATGCATGAATCAATAATAATATTAGCACTAGGTCTTCAGCTGCTTCCACATCTTGTTGGGATTCTTCATGTCCACTGTAATTCACTTCATGTGTTTCTTAATGTTAGAACTGGATGCATTTATGGCCTTGGTTTTATTTGTGCAGCTAGTCTCTTTGAACTCCTTGGACCCAAAACCTAAATCTTGTTGAGGATTATAGGCTTCGTTGTTATCACAAAGTTAAAGGAGTGTTTCATTTGTTCAAAACTATTTTGTTCCGGCTTGGACGACTTTTATCAATTACTTTACAATCTGTATTGTGGGGTGGGTGGGAGAGAATATTAGCAGACATAAGAACAACATTATTGATACGATCTCTCCCACCTGCAGGTGGCTGACTTCACATCTGTAACAATGTCCAGCATAATAAAAGAAAGACTTGAACTTCAAATGGCAGAATTAGAAATGCTTTTTTCTATGTTTCCTGATAAAGGAGAAATAACTCTTCAGGATGAAAATAATTTCCTTAATGCTCAGAAATATCTGAACAATACAAGTGAAAATCTACCACATATAATTGAATATTCAGTTGCCGTTACTATTGATGAACCAAAGGTGAGATAATCTGTTTTGGGTTGGGATGTTTTTCTTTGCTTTATGACCTTTTAAAAAACATAATATTTTACTTAATTATTAAATATTTGTGCAAGCATTTCTACCTTCAATAAAGCCAACATGTATTGTATTGAGCCACTATATTAACTTAAGTCAGTGTACTATATTGCATGCCCACAGTTGGAGTTAGCCTCAGCCATTCATGCTTCTGTATTAAATTACAATACAGTGGTATCTCTGGTTGCAAACGGGATCCGTTCTGGAGCCCTGTTCGCAACATGAGCAAAACGCAACCCGCGTCTGCGCGGGCCGTGATTCGCCGCTTCTGTGCATGACATCATTTTGCGCGTCTGCGCATGCAGCGAAACCCGGAAGTAACCCTTTTCGGTACTTCCGGTTTGCTGTGGGACGCAACCTGAAGCAAATGTAACAAGAGGTATGACTGTACTGTGATGTGCTGCATGCGAAGCAGTCACTGAAGACTGGAAAGTTTGTGAACGTATGTTTGCTTTTTAATTTTAGGCAAGAGTAAATTTGCAGGTAGCCCTACCTCATGACTACCCCCAGGTGCCACCACACCTTTTTGCAAGATCAAGTGCTATAGACAGGCAGCAACAACTGCAGCTCAACAAGGATCTCACTTCTTACATTGCTTCTCTGGAACCAGGAGAACTTTGTGTATGTGCTGCTGTGCAATGGTTGCGAGACAACAGCATAAGCTACTTACAAAACAGCAAACTCCACTGCGAAAATGTGCCAAGGGAGAGCGTACTTAAAACGTTATTCAGCCGGATGTGGATTTACAGCCACCACATCTATAGACAAGAACTAAGGAAAAAGATTTTTGATAGTGCAAAGAAATTAAATCTGACTGGTTTCTGCCTAACTGGCAAGCCTGGAATCATTTGTGTGGAAGGTGTCAAAGAAAACTGTGAAGAATTTTGGCACGTTATTAGATATCCCAACTGGAAACACATTTCCTGCAAACATGTCGAGAATAGAGAGACTGACGGAAATGGGGATAACCTACGTCTCTTTCAGACTTTTGAAGATTTACAGTTTCAAGCCCATGGTGACTACGGCCTGAGGAATGACTATCACATGGACCTTGGACAGTTCCTAGAATTCCTTAAGGGTCATCAAAGTGAGCATGTATTTCAGATCTTGTTTGGCATTGAAGGCAAATGTTCTGACAACTAACAATAAGCTATGTTTTTAATTTTCTTGTCTCTTAATAGAAATGAAATCCATCTATGAATCTGCCGCAAGAAAATAAAAGTATGGATGAGTGAATGTGACAAGTAACTTAAAAGGGCACGCACAAAATCTTTGTTTAGTATTTGAACAGTTAGCACATCAGTTTGTAATTTTGTTCAGAGCAAAACTTCTCAAATTGGCTGCAAGAGTAAGGGGGCTTGATTTGTACTGAGCCAGATGAATGCTGCATCTAAGTCCAATCCTGATAGGCATTGTTCCTCACAATCTAAGGTGTCTAGGGGAAGGAGTGGACAATATTTTTGAGGTGAAGGGGGAAATGGTTGAGGGCACTAGCAGCGGCCAGGGCCAAAGTGAGTGGGCACACCTGTTTTTTCTGTCCTTCCTTAAGCCATCATCAATTCCATCCCTTCTATTCATTTTCTCTCACAAACATGCACTCACAGCAACCCATTCACTCCCCATTTCCCTTGTATCGCCATCTCCCCCATTCACACACCTTCCTTTCAGTTTTCCTTCCAAGGTGGGTGGAGGGAAAGAGGCTCCTTTTTTTCCAGCCTAGAAATGAAGGAAAGGAAGCAGTTGGGGCAGGAATTGAGTAATCTGTTTCGCCACTGGTAGCTCACAGTAGATGCCAAGGATGCATTGGGGACAAGGTTGTAGGACAAGAGGGCTGCACTCAGGTTGTCCATCTGTGCTATAGCGCTTCAAATAAAAATAATTTCCAGCACCATTAACTAAAGTTTGCAGATATTCAAGCTGAGCCACAAAGTAGCAGGTCCACACAAAAAATATTGTTGTTATCTCAAGCCCAAACTGTACAAAGGCTATATATTAGAAGGTACATGAGCATCTCTTTCGGATGTTGTACCAGACATTGCATAGTTCACATGCTCATTCACTAAGGCATGGGTAGTTACACTACGGAACATCCAGTAACCTTCCTGACTGATGCCTCTTTGTCATTGGTTTACCGGACGGCTTCTCTGTTAAAAATGTGCACATGCCTAGCAAACTACTGACCCAAACTACTTTTCCTTGATTAGGAACATTTGATCTGGCATGAAAAAACTTATGGTTAGAAGTACTTAGCTTTTTATCTTCCTTTTTCTATAGATGTCACCAGAAAAATATTAAAAGAAATAGCTGAGACACTTTTAAACTGATCATACTGATGATATATTGCTTTGTCATTTGTTTGCAAAAAAATTTTATCTGAACTTAAGCGCAGAACTGTAATATATGACCATAATTTCATACAGATGTCTAAGTATATGAAAAGTACATTGTAAATGTGCTTCTACAGTACTGCTCTGTAGTAAATTTAGCAGAGCCCCTTCAAAAGAAATATTTAAAAACGGCCTAAATTGATTTTTATTCTCTTAGGCATGTGCTATTTTAGCTTAATTAATTAGCTTAAAGTGAAATAACTAACAATTCTACCAAAATTTCATGGCTTTAGAAAGTATTCAGTGCTGCTAGAAAAGAAAACAAATATATCCTGAGTTCTGACAAATTGTGCTATGATTTGACAAAAGTTGAAAGCTACCAAATATCTGAGTGCTTCCAGTATTGTTGCAGTGCTGCTGTCTTTCTGTTAAAAGTTCCCAGTCTGTATTTTCATGGCTTCTTGGGGCCAAGTGTAAGAGTCTGTCAGAAAGCTTTCATAGTCAGTGCTATAAATCTGGGAGCGGATGAATGCTTCCTTGTCTTCTGGCTCAGGGTGGAAAGTGGCTGTGTTGTTGCTGTAGGCATTCTCTGCAATCTGAGAGAGCAAGACAAATCCCTCATTGTTAGACTTCTGCATTGACCTGAGAGGTAGCATAGTGTATAATGAAGAAAGTTCAATTTTTGGATATCAAGTATCAGATTCTTATCAGACTGATACCAATGAAGGTATAATCTAGCCATGAAAAGATGAAAATATGCACCCAATTTTCTGGAAGAGATTGGCAAAATATACATCTTGAAATGAATTCTGCTTTAGATTCTTTTTCTCGGTTGGGTTGTAGTTCACACTTGGAGAAACAACCCCAAGTTTGTCACAGAATGCATTCTCAACAGGGAGCTGCTGTTAATTTGGGCTCTCTGATGGGTGTTCACATATAGTAAGTGTTTGTATACATGTTTGCCATGGTCACATTCCTCATTTTCTAGATGAAAAATGGTAATATAATGTGTGAACTGGCTCTTTATAGCCCAGTCCTCACCACCCCCGCCTGTGGACATAACTGGCACTGATTTCCTTGGGACATACTTCTAAGAGAGTATGTTTAAGAGCAGGGGTCAGCAAACTTTTTCAGCAGGGAGCCAGTCCACTGTCCCTCAGACCTTATGGGGGGCCGGACTATATTTTTGGGGGGGAGAATGAATGAATTTCTATGCCCCACAAATAACCCAGAGATGCATTTTAAATAAAAGGACACATTCTACTCATGTCAAAACATGCTGATTCCTGGGCCATCCATGGGCCGGATTTAGAAGGCGATTGGGCCGGATCCAGCCCCTGGGCCTTAGTTTGCCTACCCATGCTTAAGAGTATACCTCATAGTCACTCCAGCAAAAAGATCTCTAATGCACAAGGCACAGGTTTCTTTGTAAACAAGGAGCAAGTTTGGATCCATTGTAAGTACATTTTTAAAAAGTAGAATGGATACTTTCCCCCTACAGCAAGGTATGAAAGCATCCAATTCTCTCCACCTAGATAAATTTACCAAAACATATTTATTGTAGCCAAAATGATTTCGGAAAGCCTAAGAAACCAAATATGAGCTGACTTAAGAGAAAATCTTCAATCCTGTCATGCCAGTTCATCAACCCAACATATTCTGCTCTGAAATTTGCTTTCAAAATTAATCAGAACTGCTAAATTTATAGAGAAGGAAATTGCCTCCCATTGGTACAGCGCCAATACTCTAGATCAGAAAAACTGATGGGAGTTTGTTGCATACTCATTTCTTTTCTATATACATGTTGATAAGCATTCATTTTCTCACATATAAGAACATGTCCCTATAAATGTAGGTTACTAAAATATATCTGAATGTTTTTGAAAATATTTCTGTGTTACATATGAAGGTGAGATGAAGTCAAATGTTAGTGTTTCTTGTGTGTCTTTTTGCTTTATTAGGCTGGAGAGCATTACAAGTTAAATATTTCCATTTCAGATAAAAACCAGGAGACTAAAAGCTAGATGGATAACACAAACCCATCAATTATACTGACTATTGTTTCTAACTTAAACAAAATTAATATTCCTATAACAAAACAAACGTTTTTGCCAAACAAAGAATGCTGGAGAATTTACGCAGAGAAACTTGCATAAGTGTGTTTTAACATCTATAAATATATATATTATAAACTTGAAGAGAGATGAAATATGACAACTCTTTCTACATGCAGTTGGAATCAATTACTACATAAGCCTGAGGGAATGAGTTCATGATTAGAAGCTTACTGACAACAAAGACTGATCGTTACATGAAAGATTATCTCTATCCAGCTCAGCAATAAAAATAAACCAACCTCCTGGGAGATAAAAAGGAAATGAGGCCCAGAGGGTGAAAGATCAAGGACACAACCACACAAGGACCAAACTAGAGATTTAGCCATGGTCTGCTATCCCTTTCCATTTTCGTGAATTTGGACTGGTTAACCTTTCCTCCAGTGACATTTTTCCAAACCCCTGCAACTGCTATTCACCCCATCAGGGAAATCATATATGCTGTGCAGTGTAGTGGAATATTGGCCTAGGACGGCTTGGGTTCAACTTGCCAATCAGCCATGGAGCTCACCAAATGACTGTATGCCAGTCACTTCCTCTCAACCTAATTCATAGGGCTGTTCTGAGGATAAAGGGGGAAGGAAGAGAGAAAACTGATTCCTATCTTGAGATCCTTGGAAGAAGGTGAAAATATAAATGTATTAAATAATGAAATCCACCTTCAGTCTTTGACAAATCATAATAAGTCTATTCTTAATTAGGAAATGCAAAATGTACTTACTTTCACAGCAATTTTCAGAGAGACATCTTGAATTGAAACTAAAGGCGGATACAAACGGCCCTCCTCTAAATGTTTATCTGAGACCTGTTGACATATGACCTAGGAACAAAACATAAGACATGTTCTTTTAAGCTCTCATTAAACAGGTATTTTTATTTGAAAACCCACTGCCAAAAATTGAATGTATGCAACCATTTTTCTATGAGAGTAGAAAACCATTTTTCTATGCCCAGCATCAGCAGCCACATCCTCAGCAAGTTCCAGGACCCTAAGCAGCTGTCCCCTCTCTTTATTTTCCCCAGCCCTGTTCTCTAAGCCACCATTTTAATTTCCCACAATGCTTCTGACAGCATTGCTCCAGAGCACTGGGGAATCTTAATGGCAACAAGATCCAGCCACTGCATTGCTTGGCACAGTGCTACTGCTGAGGCCACTAAGCAAGCCCTACAGGTCCCACCAAAGGGGAGGGAGCCCACCAGAGGGTACTTTGTCCAGCACCCCCTCAAATCTGCACTAGGGGCAGCTTTTTTCAAATTTCATATGAACATGTTCACAGAAATAAACTTCTGGACTTGCCAATTCCCGCTTCAGTAATGAAATGGGAGCATAGGATAAGTCAAACAGAACCATGTTCATCACCCAGAAAGCCCTCATGAGCACACCTCTTTTAAAAAGGTCTCTGATAGGGCACACAAGGAAAAGGATGGAACTAGTAAATAACTAGTCATAGGCGTGGGGGTGTTAAAAAGACATTCTTAGTCTTACTCAGCATTTATATAGCAATTTTCCAGAGCATACAAAGTGCTTCTCAGTAATCATGCTGCATGCATCCTGAGAGCCTACATTTGAAAACCTATTAGAGAGTGAAAAGAGATTAAGTTTGAGACATATAGAAACCAATACTCATGAGTGGAGGGCCAATGTAAGCAGCACGGGTGGAAGTGGGATTATACTTGTCTGTCGTGGTTATTTATTTAGATAGGACACTGAGCTAAGAAGACAGAAATAGCAAAGCACTTTGGACACAGAAAGTACTGTGGGAAATCATTAACCACCACAACAAATATGTAGACAGTGACTGGAATCTGCTTGACAGAGTGCTTGACCCCACCAGTTAAATAAGGTTATAAAAGGGAGGCAATCTCCCCTATTTTACTTCTAATCCACATGTAAGCAATTCCCAAGGAACTGGAGGAGCCACCTTGCCTTTGGGGCAAGCAGTGAGGACAGACACACGATGTAGGACTATACAAGATGCCAAGAACTGACTGGCAAGAGAAGACCTGCAGGAAAGCTCACAAACTATGAGGCGGTTAGTGTTGAGAGTTTAAAATATATAGTTTTATTCTCAGATTTGATCCTATAATAGATGGTTCTGTGATCCTGATTTTCCTTCAGTGTTATTTTTCTTTCAGGGATACTTTTGAGATTACAAACACACACACTCTTAATTGAAAAGCAGGAACAAGACATTACAATTAAAGTACAAAAATAATCAGGTACCACTGTTAACACTAAAAAAGCTAAAATAGAATAAAATTTAAGAGTAGTTAGTACAAGTAAGGTGAGCAAAAGAAAGAGCAGAAATCACCTTGCTGGAAAAGCAAAGTTACCATATATCAGGACGGACATAATGCACCAATACCCAAACAAGCAGCAGAATTTTTACTCGGAGAAAGAATTGCCCAGTACTATGAAAGTTGCACTTCTCACCTCCTCTTAACAGAGACTTGCAGCCTGGCAGCCATAGAAAGCAAGGAATTACATGCAGGTGCGCAAGGCAGAGCCCTCTGTTTCTCCTCTGCACCCAAGCCTAGAAATGTAACAGGCTAATGCAGAAAAGACAGGGCTCTCTGTCTCTCCTCTGTGAGACACCCCCCAGGCTATTATTGTGGGCTAATTTACAAGCTGGGCTTAATAGGCAATAAAGATTGTGTGTCTTTTTTTTCTTTCTTTTTTTAAGGAAATGGCAAAATAAGCTACTGGCAATCATCATTATAGTTTAATCTTTTATTATTTATGAATCCACAAGGGGGAGCTAAAAGAAAAGGAGATATAAACCTGTTTGTTTTTCCTGCGGCAAATCAGTAGGATTGCTTTTTCCTGGGATTACAGGTCAGGAATCATAGTTACATTTGCATACTGATGCAAAAGGAATCATACTGCTACGTGACATGTACTGATTTTCATCAAGTTACATACATTTAGGCATAAAAAGGTGGCAACATCCATTACCATATAATGAAAAGCCAACATAAGGATGATGCCTGCTCTGTGGCAGGGTTGAATAATAAGAATTTCTGAACTGGAGAAATATTTTTCTTACTTTCCTTTATAATCATATTAAAAAGAAGGAGAAGGCAATAAATTGCTGCATGAATTCATGAAAGATGGTGCTAGGCAAGTGGAATTTCTGATCACACACACACACCTTTCATTGGTAGATTCCCCGACTTTTAAGGATCTGGCTCCTGGCCAGTGTTTCAGCCATACTTTTAAAGATGAGGGCAAATCTTGAAAAATAACAGATAACACTCTTCTTACTGTGCCCACCAAGTGTACATTTAATGGTAGGACAACATCATGATCAGTGCATCTAAACTTCAAATTATAAACATGTCAATTTATTGTGCTGTTTGTTTCACTATAATGAGACAATACCTACTCGATTTTCCATGGATACTGTCCAAGAGTGAACACCTTGCCCTTCTGATAACATATTCTATCATTGAAAAGTTAATAGAGTGATCTCTGGAATGACTAAAGCATAGCATGGGCAGTCGCAATAATAATTTATCAGCTCATAATTCTCTGACATTTTACTTTTGCTTCATCAGGCTTAGAAGAATGCCGCTTGTCATCACATTAAAATTGCCTACAATTATGGCATTAGTCTACAGGGCTCTAGATTTACTATCCACAAATCAATGCTGAACTCTACTTGGCATGCAAGTAAGAACACCTGAAAACAGGACTTGCTGTTTTTACAATGACTAAATTGTGTTTTTAATTTTTTTTAAAATCAGTTTTAAATGGACAGGTGGCAAATTAAGATACCCATAGGCTGTGTACACATGTAGCCTTTGTAAAAAGCATATGAGTTTTTTTTCATAGTGCACTTTTGTACGTAGCAGTTTGCAGTTGTACACACCTTTGCATGATAACGTCTTCTAAAGTGGCAGCTACTATCCATTATGTCTGTACACATAGTTGGGAATGTTTTCAAACTAGAGTGCAATAGTTTTCTCGATTCCTCTTCCTTCGATTAGTGTTTTCACAGACCTTCTCTCTCTCTCTCTCTCTCTCTCTCTCTCTCTCTCTCTCTCTCTGTGTGTGTGTGTGTGTGTGTGTGTGTGTATTTGACATACAGAAGATATGTACTGATACACAAAGCTGGCTAAGTTACTGTACTGCTTCCTCTTTTGTCTATTTTATTCAGAGACAAGTTAAACATGGTTAGGGGGAATAGCACAGCTCCACAATACCAGTAGCTCTGCCCCAGTAAGAAGTGACCTGAGGAAGTGTCCTCTGTGTACACATGCAGGCACATGCGCTTGCGAAGTGCATTATCGACACAAACTGATTATAACTGTTACAGCAGAGAGTGCTTTAGATTGACAAGTAGTATGGGACAGAGACAACATGAGGGTGCTGTCATGTGCACAGCACCCCAAAAAGGCGCTTGCATCCAGCACTGAATCCACATGATCACACAATGTGCACATACCCACTGTTACAAATAGGTACTCATGTTCAAACTTTTCCTATCCTTATTCATTACAGACTCTTCCTCTAGCAAGCCATGGCAAGAGGTTATCTTTTTAAAAGATTCCCTGGTTAAGATCCATTGTACAGGCTGGCTTTATATCGTTTCTTCTTTTGTTTTTCCATGGATTGTATCAAGATGGGTAGAGCAATCCAAACTATCAGAAGCCAGCATAATTTATGCTGGAGTAAATCATGCCAATGTAATTTACCGCTATTCCAAACTCTTTTCAGGAGCAGGTCTACTCCTTAGCCTGGCAGAGAGAAAGCAAGCCTTTAAAATAGTTTGATTTACACTACCCTTTTTGCTAGTGTAATTTCCACTGGGTTGCTAGGTTGCATGATTGAGCAGAACAGAGTTTGGAATGGGGTGGGTCTCCACTATCCTGTCCTGCTCCTGCCACTTTTCAGGGCCTTGGTTCAACCAGCTGAGTCCCAGTTGAGCTGCTGAGGCTTGGCTGAGTCAGGATGAAGGACTTAGATTGGAGAATCTCCAACTGAGCCAGATGTGGGACTTCAGCCAGTGAATCTGCCTGTTCCAAACACCATTCATTCCAGGGATCTCAAACTAGTTTACAAAATATTCTCATACTAAAAATACATTCAAGTTTGGTATCTGGAAAGCGTGGGTATTCCTATGGTGCCAGGATTATTCAGGTAGCATCTCCTGCTCTCAATTATGCATTGTGTGAAGAGATAAAATGCTTATTTATTTATTTATTTATTTATTTATTTATTTATACATACATACATACATACTGTACCCCACTCATCAGACTGGGTTGCCCCCGATACTTCTTCACAGATCAGACACAATTGTCAAACCCATTACTTGACACAAAAGTTTACAGAGCATAATTGAGACCAGACGTAAGTGCTCTTGTAGCTGCAATATGACTATGAATCAGACTTTGAGTCATTAGGAGAGTATGTGCAGGGCAGAGATATGTGTACACTGTAATCTTAAGCATGCCTACTTTGAAATAAATCCCACTGAGTTTAATGGGCCTCACTCACAGTTAAGTGCATAACCTTAACATTTAACTAAAGACCTAGATGGCAAAATCTGCACTCAGTGTCACCATCAACAGATGTCTGCCTGAAGAAGTTATTTTAAAGTATCGCTATCTTTTCTAGTACTTTCCACTCCTGCTAAAAGAGTCTGTAAAAGAAGCCAATTTTTGCTGACTTCCTCTCAATTTTGACATTTGAGAGGCTTCGCATGCTCCACCTTTCATTTAAGAAGTTTCCAAAGTACTTTACAAACTATACATATGAGCCCATTCTAGAAAGTTTAAGAAGCCATGTCTTTTAAAATAGACATGGCAGTTTAGGGCAGAGAATTAAGACTTGCCATATCCAACTGAAATTACAGGGAAAGGTTTTAGCCATGAGGATAAAATTAACCAACTTATCCTCAGTCACCTCCTATGTGAAGGATCACTGCCCATCTTGGCTGGACAAAGCTAGTGGAGAGAGTCTGAGCTTATTCCTGATTTTTGCACATGGCAGGTCCAAATGGTTCCCTAGGGAAAAACACCTTGATGGAAAATTGTAACACCTGGGGTTTCTGTGAAGAAATCTTGCCATTCTTTAAACAAACAAACACACACACACACACACAGAGAGAGAGAGAGAAAGAGAGAGAGAGAGAGAGAGAGAGAGAGAGAGAGAGAGAGAGAGAGAGAACAGCAACAAATTACTTGCTAAAGCAATTGCTACCAATTCTCTGCTAGAAGAAATTCACAGTTCTGCATGATTTTACATTCTGAAATAAATAACAGGTTCAACAGTACTCTTTCCTTCCTCAAAACAATGTAGGAGAATCACCCAAAATTAGGACTCAGAGGCTTTGGTATATTAACCATAGGCATGTGTCCCTCAATACACATTCAGTCTATGTAATAGGAGAAGTACTGCTTTTGTTTCAGCGCTGGTTTAATCCATCAGATTTCTGATGAATTCCTGTCTCATTACCTTACACTGCGACCATTACACAGAAAGTATCAGTTTCAGTGTTTCAGATAGTATTCAGGTGTTTGTGGCCAGGGAAGATGGTGTGGTCTGGAGAGAGTTTTGAGGACCAGATTCTGAGAGTCAGGATGGGGGGGGGGCACGTTCAGTCCTCAGGCTGAGGTCCCTCACCCAAAACTACCAGTCTGAAGGCCCTACAACAACATGCTGTCATAAACTGATGTGCCATACATGTCCTTTTCTGGGCAGACATTATCAGGTATACAACAGTCAGTACCTCTGCAGTTGTGAGGAAAATTTCTTCACTTATATGTCTTATTCCACATGCAACAACTCCAAGGGCAACTCCTGGAAACACATAAGCATTGTTGCCCTGTCCAGGAAAAAATGTGCGTCCATCTGGAAGAGTGACACGACCAAAAGGGCTTCCACTTGCAAAAATGCCACGCCCCTAAAACAAACGTTTTGCATATGTTATTGGATGGAGGAAAATCAGAACCTGCATCTATATCTATAAAACAGTGTTTTCATAAAGTAACTACAGTATACCAGAAACTTACACAAAAGTCACAA